AATTCGGTTGTAAAAATCTCATTCTTCTGGATATGTGGATTAGAGGTTTCTGCAGGAAATTTCTTCTTTAGGGCATAAGATTTTTGTAAGTGGGCTCATCATTTACTTTAGTAGTTGAGACTCCATAAAAGGCTTTTAACGCCTTTAGCCATTGGAAAACTATTGTTTCATTGAATCTTATAGTATACTTATTTCTTTATGGGGAACAGGAGTGTACTTGCTCCTCAACTCTATTACCTTCCTAAATTCGCATCTATTCTGCCAGGTTTCTTATTCTTGTGCACTTGGGCTTTAGTTTTTAGGTTCAGAGGAAATTTTAATAATCGAATCCTTAGAGTTTTCATCATTGGTTCATTCTATTAAAGGAGCACCTTGAATAAGGGACAGGGAAGATAAGAGGGGGTGTGGTTCTTGATTTCTTAAGCTCCTTCTCATGTAAGTCTTCCTAGAATGTTCTTGGTTACCTCTGTCGCTTTGGATTGCCATTTCCTTATTGAGTCCAGAATGTGAAACTCCATAAGGTCAGATTCTTTGCTCAATTAGTGGTTAATTTTTGTTGAACAAGAAATGAATCTTTTTATTGAAGAAATGACCAGAGTTCAAAGATACAAGCTTTGATTAAAAAGGAGCTGAAAAAAAGCATAAATAGAAAGTAAAAAATTAGCAAGGAAAGGGAGAAATAAAACTCTGCCAATTTATACAAATACCTTGCCATGAATATTTGGAAAAAAGCTTAGAAAGAGCACACTATTGGAAAGCTTAGCGGTTCATGAGGTTGCTAATCTTTCTTATCCAAAAAAAAAAAAGAAAAAAATGAGGTTGCTAATCTTCGGGATCTTATAGCCCCAAATTAATAGAGTACATGAATGTAAGTGTGGGAGGAAGATGGATCCTGTGTGAGAGGGAGCATTACGTATTAGTAGGTGGGGCCCATAGAGAATCGTGTTAGTTATGTGTGGGCCATAAGGGTATAAGATTTGAGGGTGGCTGTGTGTAGTCGAAATTGCTTACCGCAAGTGTACGAGTCAACTTTTAATAAAATGGTAAGTAAATACCGATGTCGTCCACTGGATTGAGTTTCTAGTCCACTCAAGTACCACAAATACTAATGCCCGATTTTATTTAGATAAACAATGACGAGGTTTTAAACACAGAATAAAGAACAAAACGATTAATAAAGTCTAAAGAAATTTTATGGTGAACGAGTCTTAGGGAATTGACTTGACCAATTGAATTTACGAGCAGATAAATTAAACACGCCAAGATTGAATATGCAATTAATCTATAAGTTAAGAAATAACAATTTATAACCGTCTCTCCCGAGAACAAATAATTCTCCCACTTATTATGAAACCAATATTCTTTTTTTTGCAAAATATTTTACCGAGGAAAGAGAATGGATCCCGAAGGGTTTTCAAATTAATTCTTCTTATGTTATCCCTTTAAATAAGGAAAAGATGTTAAAAACTAAGGATAGAGACACCAGAGAGACATACACGAGAAAAGAGAGAAGAAATAAATTCTCAAAATTGATTAATCAAAGATGAGGAATAGAAGCACTATTTATAGGTTACAAGTGGAAACAAAATCTAGGAATAACCTCCTAACTTCCCTAACAAAAAAGGAGATTTATTTGCTAAATTTAAACACAAAATCTAAACAACTTTAAAACANAAAAGGAGATTTATTTGCTAAATTTAAACACAAAATCTAAACAACTTTAAAACAACTTCTAACTAAGTCCACATAATCTTAACTTCTAACTAATTCAACACTCCCCCTCAAGCTGGACTATACAGATTGAACAGTTTCAGCTTGATCAACAACCTTTCAAATACGGGTCTCAAGAGTCATTTTGTTAGGATATCTGCAACTTGATCTGATGATGGAACATACATCAGATTTATAATTTTCTCTTCAATCTTCTCCTTGATAAAATGCCTGTCAACCTCAACACGTTTAGTACGATCATGATGCACTGGATTGTGTGCAATAGCAATTGCAGCCTTGTTGTCACAATAGACTTCCATTGAACTATCAAACTTGATCTTGAGTTCTTGGAGGAGGAGTTTCAGCCACATTATCTCACAAATACCATGAGATAATGCCCTGAATTCAGCCTCAGTACTACTTCTTGCAACAACTGATTGTTTCTTACTCCTTCATGTAACAAGATTACCCCATACGAAGGTACAATATCCTGTCGTAGATCTCCTATCTTGAATAGAACCTGCCCAATCAGCATCGGTAAACACCTTAATCTTTCTGTCATCATCCTTTCCGAAAAATAATCCAAGCCCTGGAGTTCCTTTAAGATATCTAAGAATATGATACACGGCTTCCATGTGTTCTTCAGTAGGAGCATGCATGTATTGACTTACAACACTCACTGCAAATGCAATATCCGGCCTAGTGTGGGATAAATAGATTAATCTTCCAACAAGACGTTGATATCTCCCTTTATCAACGGGTACCCCATCTAGGCTCTCTCCCAACTTATGATTGGGACTTATTGGAGTATCAGATGGTTTACATCCAAGCATTCCGGTTTCCTTCAAGAGGTCTAGTACATATTTTCTTTGACACACAGATATACCAGTTCTACTCCTAGCAACTTCCATCCCTAGAAAATATCGAAGTGTTCCCAGGTCCTTTATTTCGAAATCCTTTCCAAGTGCCTGTTTTAGTCTCTCTATTTCTTCATGATGGTCACCTGTGACAATAATATCATCGACATAAACAATGAGGATGGTGATCTTACCTTGAGAGTGCCTATAGAACATTGTATGGTCAGTTTGAGCTTGGGTATATCCTTGTTTACAAACAGCCTTTGAAAATCGCACGAACCATGCACGTGGGGATTGTTTTAAACCATAGAGAGATTTCTTCAGCTTACACACCTTTCCATCATACTTATCAATGTCAAATCCAGGAGGAAGGTCCATGTACACCTCTTCTTCCAAATCTCCATTGAGGAATGCATTCTTGACATCCAGTTGTTGTAGTTTCCAATCCAGATTTGCAGCAAGAGACAAGAGGACACGGATTGTGTTTAATTTTGCAACGGGTGCAAATGTCTCCTGATAGTCTACCCCAAAAGTCTGAGAGTATCCTTTGGCCACCAATCTTGCTTTATACCTTTCAATGGACCCATCAGCCTTATATTTGACAGTAAAGATCCAT